ATGAGAAATTGTCTTTTGTCAAAAAATTGGATGAACCCCGGATTTATATTGACCCTTGAAAGGGTTGTATTGGAATGACATGTGTGTAAATTGAAAAACAACCTATAACATCAACCTATATAAGGAATCAATAGGCAGTAGACAGATTATTAGGCCTAAGAAGGGGGTGTTGTCAATAAGGATTGGACCGCTGAATTAGGATAGAATAACCATATATAGAATGTTAGAAAGAGTCATTTTGGACTCCCCCTGTCTATAATGGTGTGATTAAGCAAAAATTAGGAAGTTGTATGACAATCAATTTTTGACCCCCCCAGGAAGCACCCCAACCTAAGTCGTTATATTAGACTAGTGGTAGAGGGGGTCAGAAAAAAAATTTTCGAAATTCGGGTTTAAAAAGGTTGAATCATCATTAGACACGTATATTATGAGTTTTTATACCGGTTTCGAAGTGATATCTGGATTAGGTGGAAAAATTTGAGGGGGTCATAACATCGTCCTATATTATAGGGGAAGGACTGTGATGAAGGAATCAACCTTCGACTAAAAGGAGTTACAAGTACAGGGATGAAGAATGTCACCCAGAATTAGTGAATCCAATAGAAGAACTGTTCTAATTCCGGGTTTAGAGTTGTCTTTTGTTTGTTGTCTAATGAATCATCCATTATTAGGAGTTGTCAATCGGAAGTAGGATCAAGCAGCAAGAAGGGGGGAGTCTTCCTTTGATAAGAGATGACATCCTCCTACATTATCTTACAGCCCCAGATTAGTTCTAGTGTGCAAGTGGGTGGACCTGGGTTCGATTCCCAGAAATGACAATTTTCCAACCCACCAGAAACTAAGTCAGGTAAGGAAGTCCACCCCTAAAAAGAAGTGGGTGCCTTCCCCCCTTGGAATAGGAAGTCCCCTTACAAGTTAGACACCTACCAAAAGAAGATGTGAATCGTCGAATAGGAGTTGTTAGACAAGGATTGTAATGCAATCTAGATTTGTCCTAAGGAATTAGGTTCAACCAATTAGGATGTTGGATATGAATTGGACAATCAACTAGACTCAATCCTTGGGGAAGAATGACCTAGGTACACCATCTTGGAAGGGGTTGGTTCACCCACCTTGGAATGTCATTACAACCCCGGAATTAGACAATATTAGAATTAACCTAAGTTAGACAAACTATATATTGTGAATTGACCCCTTGTTTTAGTAGCGTCATCCAGTTTAGGGGGTCTATACCGTCATTAGGAAAGGGAGTGGCCATTAGAAGGAAGAGTAACCCCCCTTTGGAAGTTGAAAAACAACATTAGACAACACTTCGGATCCGGGATTTAGATTGGATTAGAACAAATTAGAACAAATGAATGTGTTGTAAGTCAGGGTTTAGGGGGTCGAAGAACAACCATTAGCATTAGTCAACCGTTGTACTAGA